GTATAGCATAGCGTAGTGTAATACAGTACAGCATAGTACGTAACATAGTATAGTATATTATAGCACAGTATAGTATTGTATTGCATCGTATTGTATTGTTTGGTACAACATAATATAATATAGCATAATATGATATAAAATAATATAATATAATATAATATAATATAATATAATATAATATAATATAAAAATAATATAACATATTGTAACATAGTATAATATAATAATACATGATACAATATAAGTGTATGTGGTATTGTATTGTATTGTATTGTATTATATTATATTATTTTACCTTATTTCACACTATATCAGTGTTACGTTATTATCATATTGTAGTACATGATTGTTACACTATTCTGTGTTATGTTGCATGGGCTAATCGTAAAGAACTTTTAGCATTTATTTATTCAATACCTTGGGCTGAATATATGTGTATGTTTGACGTAAATCGTGTCGAATTATTTTCTGGTATTATGTACGAAATGTGGAGCATTCTTTCCAGATTTTTATTATATCACTTTTTTCTGCCGCTTTGGCAGCTTGTATGTTATTGTATCGCTGGTCTGATGAACTGCAGATTAAGCATTATATCAGGATTGATCTTTCTAGATACATTCCTCAAAAAATCTCTGCGATTCGTTGGTGCCCAAGGCCCTTCTGCTCTGAAAAAAGACCGGACCGTTTCGCTTTGTTCCTTTAATGGAACGTGTTGATTAATAGGAGTATCGCGTCGGTTGTTCAGAATAAAGGTTTTTTTAATACGTTTTCAAAGAAATTTTTTGTGGCTTGGGAAGGACCGTATGGTTAATAAATTTTTCGATGCATTGTTTGTATAGCTTACTACTTCAAGTTAGAAAGAGACCATACTGTATAATATTTCTGAGTAATCAACAGCGCGTTATTCAATTTGTATTTGGCCAAACCCACCATTTGTTCAAGCGTTTTCTTAAGGTAGGGAGCATTTGCTACGCATGTGCAGTGTAAGGATTTGCACCTACCGTTTTAGTACTTTTATGTATGTGGTGATACCGAAATTACTTTAGGAGTTTTGGAAGCTTCTTAAAATTTGAAGATGTCAAGTAAGAAACGAGGAAGAACGAAAAATTCTGAGCGTGTTGAACCGGGTAGTTGGGAGTGCACTGTATGTACATATCGGAATAGATATGAGGCATTTAAATGCGAGATGTGCGATACAAGGTTTGAAGAAGAAATTCAGTCGTAAGACGTTGATTAGAAAGTGTTCTTAATTTTTGTGGCTCTCTAAAATTTTTCAAAAACAACTTTGTTACGTTGCCCGTGCGAAATTTGGTCAGCTTATTATGGCTTAGTTCTAAGTTTTTTTTT